CTCCCCTGGCGCAGCTTGAGGCTGTTTCCTCTCGTCCTATCACTTGTTTAGCTGGGGAAGAGACCGCCCCCCCCCTCGCTACAGCCTCCTTTCAGGCAGTTGTAGAGAGCAATAAGGTCTCCCCTCAGCCTCCTCTTCTCCAGACTAAACAACCCCAGCTCCCTCAGCTGCCCCTCGTAAGACTTGTGCTCCAGACCCTTCACCAACTTTGTTGCCCTCCTCTGGGCACGCTCCAGCACCTCAATGTCCTTCTTGTGGTGAGGAGCCCAAAACTGAACACAGTACTCGAGGTGCGGCCTCACCAGTGCTGAAAAATTTTTTTTTAAGCACACATTTCTAACACATACTTCTCTTATGGTAAGCCTGCAGAAGTCCTGATTGTGCCTGTGGGTTTTAGCTATAACTTTAATCTTGAATGCCTCTAAAGGACTAATACTAGCAGCTAAACACTTCCTTGCATAGATGCATGCTCATGTGAAGAGCAGGGGAAATGAGTTGCGTGAACACCTCTAGCAGAGGAGTTTTGCAGTTGGCCGTTACTAATTCTTCATGTGGGAAGATAATGATTCATAACACACATCTCTCTTTCCAAGGCTCTTCCTATTCCAAATGAAGACCGGATTAAACATCTCTTGGGACAAAATGCTTGGACCTCCCAGAAGAACGAGCTGGCCTGCTTCTACCCACGCCTGGCGTCCAAATCGGAGACGGGCAAGATCGGGTTAATTAACTTGGGAAACACCTGCTACATGAACAGCATCATACAGTCTCTTTTCATGGCTTCAGAGTGAGTTTTCACTCCCTTGCTCCCACCCAAGACTGCTCCAGGGGTTGCTCATTGCACCGGTGTTGCATGTCCTGTACTGATTTTCCATCTTACGTTTTTCATCTCTCCTTTACTTTTGCAGCTTTCGGCATTCGGTGTTGAATTTAACCGAGGGCAACTCCCAGCCCCTGATGACAAAGCTCCAGTGGCTCTTTGCGTTTTTGGAGCACAGTCAGGTAATTATTTCATGTTCTAGTTATTTGTTTGGACTGTCGGCTGCGGAAAGGCTCGTCTCCAAGTTGCTTCCTGC